CTTAAAATATTAAATTTTTCCTATCTTTTCACCTGTATTTTTCACATTCTTACAAAGGTATCTCCATCGTAAAAAATCATAAATAAAACCAATTCATCAAAAATAAATTTCCGATTCTTTTAATCTCAAAAATCTCTTCAATTCTAAAAATCTTTTCGACGCAATACTTCAAAAAAAACCACACATCGCTATAAAATTAGCTCGGGTACCTCGGGCTCGCTAGACCCGTACCGCAGCCGACAGTGATCTTCCACAGCAGGCTGCAGCCCCTGAGGTAAAGAAACAAACGCTCTATTTCCACGAACGCTCGATAACAGCTCTCTAAACGGTAAAAAGCGAGCACGTATGTTAAAACCTTGGAAACTCGATCTCAAATAGAGAAAGGTGATTGTCCTTGCCCTTGCTTCCTAACTCGCACGCACGTCGATCGAGAGAGAGCATGAAAACTCGCGTGACGAGGCGAATTTCAACGAAACCGCTCGACTCGATGCGCCCCTGAATCAAAGGATTCATCACATCGAGAAATTTCAAGCATTTCCGGCCGAGCGTGGTTGATGAAGAGGCGCGTGTGCTCACGCACATACGAACCACCGGTTAGCGTGACAGTAATAAATTTACCAGGCTAAAAGCTTTGCACTGGACTCGACGTTACCAGCCACCGAGATACTTGGTCCCGTGTTATTAATTTCGCCCTTATTCCTATGGGATTTAACGTAATTCTGTAATATTCGGTAAATTAACTGTCGGGAAATTATTACGTTCGGATTATGCGTTCGACTACCCTGGAACATCCGAATGACTCGAGATATTCGTAATGGAAACCGTTTTCATTCTCGTTTAATTAATACAGTTGATGAATTAAAGTTTTAACGAATGAATTATCGATTCATATTTTCTTGTGTTATTTTATGGAAGAGATATATTAGTTGATATAGATTGATATTTTGAAGGAATAAATTATCGATTGATTGCGTAATTTTAATTGCGAGGGATGAATTTTGATCGGTATTTTCAAGAGATGAATTATTGATTATGTAATTTTATGTGATTGATATTTTAAAGGAATAAATTATCGATTGGTTGTGTAATTTTATGTGAAAGATGAATTAGTGATTGGATATTTTGAAGGAGTAAATTATCCATTGATATTTTTTTCGTTATGTAAATTTTATATAAGATATTGATTAAAATTTGGATAAAAATATTTAACTTCGTCGTAATTGATGTTTCACAATGAATATTAAATTGGAATTATACTATGAAATAATTGAAAATATTGTTAATATAAATGGTGAATTAATGTTTCAAGGGATTTCGCATTTCATATTTCGAGAGAGTGAAATTTTATATGTGGAATATTGATTTACGTTCAATGAAAATATAAACGTAACCTAGAGTTATTATATGATAAAGATATATGTAGAATTAATATGGATGGAAAATTAATATTTTAGTGAATGAATTATTAATTGATTTTTCATTTGTGTGAAATATTAATTAATCTTCAAAATTATTCTACAGTGAAGATCAATTATTGTCTTTCAATCCATACGTTCGCAGAATATAATCTCATTTGCAATTTGAGTAGACAAAAAGCATCGAACATCTTCACCAAAAAAAAAAGCACATTTCACATAAAATTAAATATTCAAATTAAAATGCTCTTTTCATTATCTCAACCAAAATCTAATTAAATCCATTAAAATCGAAACTCGTTAAAAAGCCAACCAATCGTAATAAATCAAAACCAAGTACACGATATACAAGCATCAAAATATCTTTTCAATATATATATTAAAACCAATCAAAGCATTATAAACGTTTACACGATCGTAATCATTCGATTAAGAGGATTAATGACCACATAATATAATCAAATCAATTGCATCCCTTGCTATCCATCGTTAATCAAAATTCAAACAGCGTGCAACTCCCTCCAAACGACAGATTTCAATCTCACCGAAATATTTTCTCTCTATAAATAACTCTTTTACTTTTACCGTTCAACTCGGATACCGATGATACTCCACGAAATAAGCTCTTTCCTTCCACCCCTCTAATCTCTGCTACGGCCGTGTTCAATATTTAATCGCGATCGGCGAAAGTGTAGATTGCCAATTTCGTTCCTAACTAAAAATAAACTTCGAGCGTCTCGTTTTAATCCCACCCTCTCCTATTCCGATCCAATCCTCTCTTATACGTTGGTTGGTAGTACGGGAGTTGCGTTGGATCGAGAAAATTATTATAATGGGTTCGATAATCGAGAAGTTCTATCGATAAGTTTTAGTTTATAAGATTTATAGCCGGATCCGAGAATTTTTGTGAATGGAGGGAAGTTTAATTGCGCAAGATGTCTCGCGCAACTGGGCTAAATGGTAGCTTTAAAGTTTTTTAAAATATAAGTTGAAAGAAACTGGAATAAGCTGTTGAGGATAGTATTACAAACTTTGTATTTTAAATTTGGCGAAATCCGAATAAAGTTTTAGTCCCCATTTATATATTTAGTTCCATGAATTCATCGCATGTGATAAATTTTTTTTTTTAAGAAGAAAAGGAAATCTTGATAATAAAATTAAGAAAAAATTAAAACCAGCAGCTTGAAAATAATTGATTAATTCTTCTTTCTTATTGCTATGAAATATTTTTTATTTTCAGTTATTATCACTTTTCGACGATCGTTCTTTACTTTCACTTTCTAATTACGGCTTCCTAACCAAGTATTCTCGAATCGAATTAGAGCAATTGGGGGTTATCGGTCGTCGCGGAGCAAAGTCGAGAGAACAAAGACCGTGTCCCCAGGGGTTTTGCAATGAAGGAAGTTCAAGATACAATATCGGGTGTGTATATGGAAATCATGGTATATAAATGGATAGTTGGCCAACTATGGAATGGATAAGATGTTGCGTCGTAGGAGCAAGAAGGTTAAAGGGAATTTCGAATCTTTTTGAGACGAGGAAGAGAAACAAATGGAAATCAAGGATTATATTAGATCTTATTCATAAATTTATAAATGTCATCCGTTTCAAAATAAATTTATTTTAAATTCTTTTAAGCCATATCTTACTCTTCGAACTTTAGCATATTTCATTTTTATTCTAATTTAAGATGTATACCCATTCGGTCTACGTATTGTAATATCTATCTAGACACGGATGAATATATTAACTTGCAAGAAATTTCCATTCTATCGACTTAACTTCAACTCTATTATCGAATATTTTAAATTTCACTTTAGCAATTATTATGTATTATAATAAACCATCGGATATTAAACAGTCATAAGGGTGCAAATGGTTTTCTCGAGACAATAAGGATGCAATTCGCGGGACAAAAGCGTCGCGAAATCTCGTGGACAAAAGACGGAACAATAGGTGTCTCCCTTTTCCGTCATATCAGTTCGGGCAACGCTCGTACACGCTCCTATCAGCGCAGTCCATGCAAGCATGAAGCCGATTTTTATTCCCGGTCGGAGGAATCGACGATGATGGCCACCTCATACCTGATTCCGATCAATGCACCCTGCTGTGCTTCTACTCCGATTGATTTTCAATCGATTGAATCGTGTGAAAGAATTTGAAAGAATTTGAAAGAATTTGAAAGAATTGATTTTTTAAAACGAATCACATTAATACTTGTAATTAGTTGGTTATTAGTTAATGGTATATCAATTATGAAGGAAAGGATTATAAAGGGATTATAAAGAATTATGTTATGATTAGAAAGATTGAATAAATAATGGATAATGATTAAAGAAGTTTGAATAGTTTGTCGAAGTTTCTTTAGAAGTCGTATTAAATGATTATATTGGGTATATGGATGATGTAGTTAATAATTGATAAAGAAGATACGATAATGAAAATATAAATGTGGTATATTTGGAGAAATATAATAAAGATAAGAGAAATATGAAAATTTGAAAATTACGAAATGGAAAAGCTTATATAGATTTTAAATAGACCCAAAAAGAGTAAATAATTGCAAAATTTGTGCAATAATAATAATAATAATAATAAATATGAATAGCAAAAAAATGATTTATTATAATATTTAAAATGTGTGTGCACGCATATCTATATAATAAAATATTTTTAAATTTGGAATAAGACTCGCAGATATAAAAAAAGGAAAAATGTGACGAAATATAATTAAGTAATTTTGTGAATTAATTAGATATTCATATTCAAAAATTTATATTGAAATTTCTGAAATTTACATTGAAAAATTTAGTCTGAAATGTTATATTCTGTTTACGGAAATTATATAATGTGTAGTAATATTTTAAATATATAATATTGATAGAGTTAATTTAATTCAAGAAATATTATTGAATATTGATAATATTTGAATTCAAAAAAAGTTCAAGAATTTTAATATTTAGAAAAGCACAATATTATAATAAAATATTACTTCACAATTATATAAAATAATATAATATAATTGTATTAATAAAATATGTAATCAAAATTACATGCAAATAATTATTATTTAAAATTTTAAGTGCGGAGTATACAACATTTATAATAATAAAATAGTATGATGAATATACAGCAATAAAAAGAAGTTTTTGTAATGATACATTTTTTTTTACATTACATTTATAATAAATTAAACAAAGTGTTTCAATGAAATAATTCAAAAATTGAATAATGTAAATAACAATCCTACAAACTTGATATTAAATATACATACCATTATTAATAAAAATGCTGTTGAAACATTGATATCAATATCCATTTTTTAATCTTCAGTTTGGAAAAAAAAATGAAAAACACAAAAAAATTTTAAATCATATAAAATACATAAACTTCTCTCACGAATGAAGAATTCATAATCTGAAAAACACTCAAAATACAAAATAATCATCTCGATTCATTAAACATTATTAAACATAGAATGATAAAACGCAAATAAAATCGAAATAAAATCAATATATTTCAATGTATTTCGATATAAAAATTCGAAATCAGATTATCTTGGATTCAACTGATCGTGACACGATATCTCTGTACAATTCCTTTATTACATCCAATGATACACCACAGTTACATACAGCCATTCAAATATAATATTCGCCATCGTTCGTCGAAACCGTGGAGAAAATTCTTTCTTCTCCTCACCCTTAAAAATTTCACTTGAGCGCGTTTACCACGAATTTGCATTTTCAACTTCTGTGAGAACTTTTACCAGAGAGTTCAAATCTTCACGATGTCCCATGTGTTCCGGTTGCAGCCGTGCATCACGACTATAACTTCCGGTAGCTCGCGCGCGCCAAGACGATGGCCTCCTGTCTCGATTTCTGTGCATACCAATGAAAGTCGCAATCTTTTTCAACGACGAATTTTCATTCTCGATTGCATCCCTAACGTTAAATCTGTGCTCGAAAGACCGATCTGAAGAAAAATACGCAAGTTGCAGATCTCTCTCTCTTTTTTTTTTCTTCCAATTTTCAGTTCTCGATTTCACGAATCAATTTTATTATTTTTTTTTCTTTTTTTTGTTTTTTCAGGTGTTTAGACATGTAAAGCATAGCGAAAACACAAGCGCAATCATTAGAATTTTATGTTAACGGGAAGTGCAAGTCGCAATCGAGATCGATCTTATTT